TCATTGTTGTTTGGCGGGCCCGGGCTGGGGATTCGAACCTGCCACCTTAGGTGTATGTGGCTGGCACCTTAGCCACTTGAGCCACAGGCGCCGAGCCCACGGTTACCATTCAATAAAAAAAAAAAAAGAAAGAAAAAAAAAAGAAAGAATAATTGAATATAATATGGGATACTGGAAAGAGAAAAAATATATTAGAAAAACTTGGTAAAATTTGTATAGTCTGTTTAATTAATAGTTTTATACCTGTTAAATTTTTGGCTTTGATAATTGTCTTATGGTTATGTAAAGTGTTAATATTAGAGGAAGCTCAGTGAGAGGTATATGGGAATTCTCTACATTATTTTTGTAATTTTTCAACAGATATAAAATTTTTAACTAAGTTTCAAACATCAACAGAAACTGGAAAAACTACTTGCATTACTTATGACTGAGGGCTGGCTTTCTGTTTTTGCAGAGATATTATCATTGAAATTAGTAAGAATCAATATATTATACATGGAAAACTGGACAAAGGCTATAAACAAGTAGTTTATGGAAAAAGAAATGTGTATAACCAGTAAATACATTAAAATACCACTTGCATAATTAAAGAAGTGCAAATTAAAATAAGATATTTTTACTTTTTGGTAGTACCTAGTTTAGTGATTCTTACTAATAACACATTGTATAAATTGTTACTTACCTTTTAGAAGGCAAGTAGCAATTACTTTATTAGGAATTTACCTGTCAACAATGCTAATAACAGATATATGTACAGCAATGTTCATTGTAGTAATATTTTAACATTAAAAAAATGGCTCATCAGTGGTATAACTACTGTAATAAAACATCTATATAGGCAGCGCCTGTGGCTCAGTGGGTAGGGCACCAGCCACATATACCAAGGGTGGCAGGTTCGAACCCTGCCCTGGCCAAACAACAACAACAACAAAAAATAGGTGGGCATTGTGGTGGGTGCACCTGTAATCCCAGCTACTCAGGAGGCTGAGGCAAGAGAGTAGCCCAAGCCCAAGAGCTGAAGGTTGCTAGGAGCTATGACGCTGCAGCACTCTACCAAGGGCTACAAAGTGAGACTCTGTCTCTAAAAAAAACACAAACTATATAGTGAGATTTCCTGTTTAAAAAGTAAGATAGAGAGGTGTGTGCCCTGGGAAGAATTCCAAAATATATCATTAACTGAAAAGTAACAGGGTATAGAACACCATGTGTATATAAGATGAGTGTATTTGTGTAACTTTTCAAAGTATATCGGTATTTACATAAAAATTATGTTTTCTAAATAGTGTTTTGTTGGGAAGGACAGAGCCCTGGAATTAAAGGGCAAGGGAATTTTCATCTTAGACCTTTTAAGTTCTTCTTTTTTTTTAATTATATATATATATTTACTTTTATTTTATAAAATATGCTTCATAAAATAAGTATATTTTTGGACTTTTAAATTTGTTTTCTTCTAAATGATATTACCTATTAATAAATATTATTGGTCAAGTACAGTATTGAGCACTTTTTATGTAATCTCAATTCATTAACTTGTAATTAATTTTTATAATTTCATGTAAAATATGAAAGTAGATTTCCTAATGAGCATGAGAATCAGTCAGTGTTTAGTATTTGTGAGGTCTAACAATTAAGTTCATGTACCCATCTTAGAAACAGTGCTACATTCCTCAATGCTGATTATCACTCTGTTCACCTTCAAAGTACTCCCTGTGGGAAGCTAAGCCATGCACCGATGCCAGCACTTACTCCACTCTTCAAAGCAATTTTGGAACTCTCTTTCTGGAATGACTATCAGAGTTGTCATTGTATGACACACATAGACACACAATAATGAATGCTACTCAGCAAGATGCTGCCACATGCTTACATGAACACAGCTGTGAGACATTAAGACACCAAGTTTATGAAACCTTACTAAGTTATTTTTATAGTACTGCCAAAATAGATACATGATGCCAAGCTTGCAAACTTAATTATTAGACCTCAGACTATAACTGCTCTGATGGTCATTCTACAAAAGGAGTTCCAAAATGGCTTAGAAGTGTGGATTAGGCACTGGCCATCAGTGCATAGGTTCGCAAAAGCGATACTTCAAAGGTGACTGTAGTGATATTCACCAATGAGGTATGTAGCACTTTTTCTAGGATGAGTTCATGAATTTAATTGTCAGGCAGTACATTGTTTCAGTCACCTGGTATGCTTGTTAAAAACCAGAGACTTAAACCCAAGAGTCTGCTATAGTAAACCTGGGGTGATTCCATGGAATTTGTATTTTTTAAAAGAATTCCAGAGATGATTATGATTGTAAAATTAATGCACTGCTATATCACTGGCTTTTTTTTTAAGATTTATTTTATTTCTTATCAGTATAATGTTAGAAATTACCCTTTTTAAAAGTAAATGCTTTTAATTATCTATATAACTTTACTTATGCTTCATTAGGAAATACCTGTTTGCAAAAAGGACATAATTTATGGAATGTCTTTTTTTTTCCTTGTAGTTGACCACAGCAGAGTTAAGTTGACTTTAAAGACTCCTTCTCAAGATTCAGACTATATCAATGCAAATTTTATTAAGGTATGTATTAATATTAAATGATATTTCTCTGCCATATCTATTGTCTTCCTGCATACCAGTTTTTAAGACTTTTGAAATTGCCCAAACATGGTACCAACAGCAAAAGAAATAAAAATAAAATCACTATCTTGGCACATTTTATGTGCTTTCCTTTTAACCTCCTTATCCATAACAGTTTTGCCTTATTTTACGGTAGCAGCAATAACATTTGTTTTGTTTCCTCCTTTACATTGAAAGCTTACAAATACATTACCTATTCCTAAATCATCTTCTCAGTTTACTCCTGATTTTCTTTTGTTTGTTTTATTCACCACTGTACTAATGAGGAACTCCTCTGATTTTATCTATACAAAAGTACATGGTCATCGTCTGTTGTTGAAACTATATAGGTAATTTCCAGTTTTTCTTGTTAACTAACTTGTCCAGATAGCTTTGTTAACTAGTTATTGGGTCTGATAATATCACTATGAACACCTTTTGTTCTTTTGAATAATTTCTTAGGATAAATTAATAGGATAATGCAGATTTAAAATTTTAGAACATGGGCTGGGCATGGTGGCTCACTCCCATGATACTAGCACTCTGGAAGGCCAAGACAGGTGGATTACTTGAGCCCAGGAGTTTGAGACCAGACTGAGCAAGAGTGACACCCCACCATCTCTAAAAAATAGCCAGGCATGGGCGGCGCCTGTGGCTCAGAAGGGTAGGGCACCAGCCTCATATGCTGGAGGTGGCGGGTTCAAACCCAGCCCCAGCCAAAAATAAATAAAAAGGTCTAATTTCTGGGCAGCACCTATGGCTCAAAGGAGTAGGGCACTGGCCCCATATACTGGAGGTGCTGGGTTCAAACCTAGCCCTGGCCAAAAAACTGCAAAAAAAAAAAAAAAAAAGCCAGGCATTGTGGTAGGCTCCTATAGTCCTAGCTACTCGGGAGGCTGAGACAAGAAGATTGCATAAGGTTGCTGTGAATTGTGACACCACAGCACTCTACGAAGGGTGACAAAGTGAGACCCTGTCTCTAAATAAATAAATAAAAATTATGGAACATAAATATAAAACTTTTGGCCATCGTCACTTTCAAGTGGTGACCCAAATATAAGATTAAATAGTCTTTTTTTTTTTTTTTAATAACCTTTGTTTAGATGCCTTTGATCAAAAGCACTCAAGTTCTGGGCAGTGCCTGTGGCTCAAAGGAGTAGGGTACCAGCCCCATATGCTGGAGGTGATGGGTTCAAACTTGGCCCTGGCCAAAAACTGGGGGAAAAAAAAAAAAGAGCAGTCAAGTTTTTACATAATTATCAATAGAGAGAGATGCAAACTGCCACATGATTAAGTTTAAATACAAGGCTTTAATTTGTTCCATCAGTCATTTCTTGGTTTCTGAATCTTACTAGTTATATGACAGTATAATTTTCAGTCATTTATGTGTTATTTATACATACTTTAATATTATATTTTGTTGACAAATATTAAGTGGTCAAATAGAGTTTATATGGTCAAATTAATGATATCTATGCCAATACTGAACAGTCATGGTTTTAAATAAAAATTTCTCTTTCCACAAAATCAATTTTATAATTGTGATAAAAAACAAAATTAATAGATTAAACAAAAACCAATAAATAAATGGTTTGCTGTTTTAGATGTTTATGTTCATATTGTTTTTAATTGTTCTTAATGGTAGTGATTCATTGTATGACTCAGTTATGTGGTAGTTTTTGTATTTTACTCACTTATCCTGTTTGCTATATTTTCTGGTTATTATATAAAACCTACATAGTACATATTAATAAACTTTTAAGTTGAATAGATAATTGAAGATATCTATGGATGACTAAGAAAGAACTATTAACTAGTTTTAGTATTGATTTTAGAATCACAGTATGTTTTTATATTTCTGCTACAGAAAGTAGTAATAGTTACCAAAAAAGAAGATAGTTACCAAAAGAAGTGAACTGAATACATTTTGCCATGGCTTTGTGTACTATGAAACATTATTTAGAAATGCTTTAAGTGGAAACAACAGTATTGTTGATAAAATTTGAAACCTTCAAATTTAGGTAATATTTTTGGTAATAAAACAAGAAATATAAAAGTTGTTTTTAACCATTTTTAGGGTGTCTATGGGCCAAAAGCATATGTGGCAACCCAAGGACCCTTAGCAAATACCGTAATAGATTTTTGGAGGATGATATGGGAGTACAATGTTGTAGTAAGTAATTTACTTTTTGTAATATATTTTGAGAAGTATATATGTAATGATATAATGATGTTTTATTGAATAAAGAATGAGAGGATATTTTAGCCATCTGATATGTTTAATTATAGTTGGTGTTCACTAAAAAGACAGAAAGTGATTTTTAGGGTATCATTAAGTTCTCACAAACTAGTCTAAGCATTTAAAAATATGTGATAGGACTAGGCCTGTTTCAAGCCTATAATCCCAGTACTTTTAAAGGCTAACTCACGAGAATGGCTCAGGTCAAGGCTTTGAGACCAATCTGGGTATCAAGAGACCTTGTCTTTACAACAGATAAAAAAAATTAGCTGGGCCTAGTGTTACACACCTATAGTCCCAGCTACTCGAGAGGCTGAGGCAGGAGGATTGCTTGAGCCTAGGAGTTAGAGGTTGCTATCAGCTACGTACGATGATGCCACTACACTCTAGCAGGGTGACAAGAGTGACATTTACCTCAGAAAAAAGTGAGTTGATATACTGCACAGAGCTGCCCTGTACTACTGTGTATCACCTTGGAAAAGCAAGCATTTGTTTATAATAGGCTTTTTTATGGAATTATAATGATCCTGAAACACTGGCATCCTGTGTTAGTCTTTGAAAGCTTAGTAAAATGAGGAGAAATTCCAGTTCTTAGTGTTTGCCGTTATTTCAGTTTAAAAATAGATGTACAAAAAAGAAAAAGTAAAACTATATGTCCTTCGAGATTGACTGGGAAAGAACATGAAGAAACTTTCTGGATGATGGAACCATCTAGTATCTTGATAGGAGTTTGTGTTGTACAGAGGTATGCATTTGTCAAAACTTAGGGAGAATGTTCACTTAAGATTTGTATGTTACTTTTCATTATATGTGAAGTTTACTTCAATATGTAAAATTTTTATATTGTAAACAATATAAATACAGTTTGAAAATTAATGAGTTCTAGATAATGATATGCATGCTGTAGCATTTAGAGGAAAGTATACTGATGTCCTTAATTTACTTTGCAATGCATAAAATTGATAGTGAGCTGGTTGTGTGATATAAAAATCATAGTGAAGTGTTAATGGTAAAATATAGATGATAGCTGTACAGTATTTACTATAAAAATCTTTCAACATTACTGTATGTTTATAAGTTTGCCTTGTAGGCTAAGTGTGGTGGCTCACGCCTATAATCCCAGCACTCTAGGAGGCCAAGATGGATGGATCGCCTGAGCTCAGGAGTTTGAAACCAGCCTGACCAAGAGCAACCCTGTCTCTACTAAAACTAGAAAAACTAGCCCGTTATTGTGGTGGGCACCTATAGTCCCAGCTACTTGGGAGACTGAGGAAAGAGCAACATTGAAGTTGCTGTGAGTTATGATGACTCTACAACACTCTTCCAGGGCAACTAAGTGAGTCTCTGTCTAAAAAAAAAAAAAACTTGCCTTGTAAAATGTTGAAAGGGGAAGCAGATTTAATAACCTTTATTTTTTGAAAGAGAATCTCACTTTGTCACCCTTTGTTAGGGTCCCATGGCATCATCAAAACTCACAGCAACCTCAAACTTCTGAGCTCAGGCCTTCCCTAATAGTAGGGACCCTACAGGCACCCTAGCTGTTTTTCAGAGATGGGGTCTCACTCTTCTCAGGCTGGTTTCAAACACCTGAGCATAAGAAGTCCACATGCCTGGGCCTTCCAGAGTGCTGGGATTACAGGTGTGAGCCACAGTGCCTGGCCATAAAGATGTTTTTGAATTAAGTACTGTTGCGAGCACGTAAATGATCACAGGAGACACGGATTGACAGTACAAGCTGCAAGAGGTGAGGCTAACCATAGGTACAGGATAGACCCAAGCACTTCTCGCAAAGTGTTTTTATTGAGAAGATACATAATAGCAGTTACTTGGCAGCTTGCCTTCAAGTGATAAGAGATTTCCAGGATTGCCAGGAGAATGTCTTATTCTCAACAATTCCTCAGATGAGTCATGAGATTGATAGCTGTTATAATAAGCCTGAAGTATAATTCTCTACATGTTACTACTGTAAAGATGATTCTCAATCCTCTACAAAGTACATTCATCCTTTAAGAAAATCTATTAAATGTATTTTAGTTAGTAGTGCTTGTATAATTAGAGAACTATCCTAAAAGTGATATGTTAATGTAATTTCAAACATAAATCTGTAAGACTGACATAATTTAACTCAAACCAAATAAATCACGTTAACTGGAACAATTTAATTTATTGCTATCCAGTCAGCCCTTGTTTGGAAGGTGTGATTCTGATAATTTCTTTAACTTATACCTTTAATATTAAAACTACTTTTTTAGACAGAGTATACTTCTGCTCATGTTAAACAGTAATTCTTGAAATTTGTATTTTATTAAGAAGTAAAATTGTATTTAACGAATGTATTGTCATCCCACTCCCCACCGCTGCTTCCTTTTAGATCATTGTAATGGCTTGTCGAGAATTTGAGATGGGAAGGGTATGTATACCTGTTCCTCTTACTACTACATTTCTAGGAAGAAATATTCCTGGTCTTTTATTATTATTATTATTATCTGAGCCTAGATAGTTAGATACTTTTATTTTGGGGGTTTGCTGTTGTTTTTATTTGATACAAGGAACAAAATACTCAAAATATTCAAAAGTGTGTAAAGGTTTTTTTATTTATTTGTTTCGACATTTTGTAAGAATACTTTATGATATATAGGTATACCTCAGAGATACTGCATGTTCAGTTCCTGACCACCACAATAAGGCGAATTTTTTTTTTTTTTTTTTTGAGACGGAGCCTCAAGCTATCCCCCTGGGTAGAGTGCCATGGCATCACGCTCACAACAACCTCCAACTCCTGGGCTCAAGCGAGCCTCCTGCCTCAGCCTCCCAAGTAGCTGGGACTACAGGCGCCTGCCACAACGCCTGGCCATTTTTTGGTTGCAGCCATCATTGTTGCTTGGCGGGCCCGGGCTGGGGATTCAACCCGCCACCTTAGGTGTATGTGGCTGGCGCCTTAGCCGCTTGAGCCAGAGGCGCCGAGCCAATAAGGCAAATATTGAAATAAAGCAATTACTACAATAAAACAAGTCATACAATTTGTTTTGTTTCCCAGTGCATATAAAACTTACTAATAATGTTTATACTATAATCTAGTAAGTGTTCTATAGCTTTCATTGTGCCTAAAATGTGTGGCTTAATTTAAAAATACTTCATTGCAACAGCAAGTTTTAACAGTCATCAAAAATAGTCATCTGAGCCTCCCATGAGTCAATCTTTTCACTGGCAGAGGATCCTGCTTCAACATTGATGGCTGCTCACTGATCAGGGTGTTGGTTGCTGATGGTTTGAGTAGCTGTGGCAATTTATTAAAAGAGACCAACAATGAACTTTGTTTCATCAATGGACTCTTTCATGAAAGATTCTCTGTACCATGTGATGCTATTTGATATAATTTTACCTATAGTAGAACTTTTTTTTTTTTTTTTGCAGTTTTGGGCCAGGGCTGGGTTTGAACCTGCCACCTCCAGCATATGGGGCCGGTGCCCTACTCCTTTGAGCTACGGGTGCCGCCTACCAGTAATAGAACTTATGTTAGAGTTGGAGTCAATCCCCTCAAGCCCTGTCACTGTTTCATAAACTTAAGTTTATGTAATATTCTAAATCCTTTGTTGTAATTTCAACAATGTTCACAGCATCTTCACTGAGAGGCTATTCCATCTCAAGAAACCACTTGATTTGCTCATCCATAAGAAGTAGTTCCTTATCCATTAAGGTTTTGTCATGAGAAGTGCAGCAATTTAGTCACATTTTCGGGCTTTACTTCTAATTCAAATTCTCTTGCTGTTTCTACCACATCTGCAGTTACTTCCTCCACTGAAGTCTTGAACTCTTCAAAGTCATCCATGAGGGTTAGAATGAACTTTTTCCAAACTCCTTTTAATGTTGACATTTTGACCTCCTCCCCGTGAATCATAAATATTTTTAATTGCATCTATTATAGAACAGTAAATACTTTCATTAAAGGTGTTCAATGCATCTTGCCCCAATCTATTAAAGTAAACACTACATATGGCAGCTGTAGCCTTACAAAATCTATTTCTTAAATAGCAAGACTTGAATGTCAAAATTATTTACTGTTTGTCCCATGGGCTACAGAATTGGGGATATTTGTTAGCAGGCATGAAAACAACATTAGTCTCCTTGGACATCTCCGTCAGAGCTTTTGGGTAACTGACCAAGGGCTTATCAATAAGTAGTAATTTGAAAAGAATCTCTTTCTGAGCAGTAGGTTTCAACATTGGGTATAAAATATTCTATAAATCATGCTGTAAACAGATGTGATGTCATCTAGACTTTGTTGTTCCATTTATAGATCACAGATAGAGTATATTTGGTATGATTCTCATGAGTTCTATGATTTTTGGAATGGTAAATGAGCGTTGGATGTAAAGTAGCCAACTACATTAACACCTAAAGTCAGCCTGTCCCTTGAAGCTAGACATTGACTTCATTTCTGTATTTATGTAAGTCCTAGATGCCATTTTTTTCCCCAATATAAAGCTGTTTTGTCTATATTGAAAATCCGTTGTTTAATGTAGCTGATTTCATTAACAGTGTTAGCAGATCTTCTGGATAACTTCTTGGAGCTTCTATATCAGCACTTCCTGCTTTGCCTTGCTTACACTTCCAGGTTATAAAGACAGCTTCTTTCCTTAAACCACGTGAACCAACCTCTGCTAGCTGCAAATTTTTCTCTGCTCATTCATTGCCTTCCTTCATTGAAGTCTTGACCACTTCAAAGTCATCCATGAGAGTTAGAATGTATTTTTTACAAACTTCTCCTCAGCCTTCATAGAATTGAAGAGAGTTAGGGCCATCCTCTGGTTTAGACTTTGGCTTAAGGAACTGTTATATCCAGTTTGATCTTCTGTCCAGAACCACTTTAACTTTCTCATCATCAATAGGGCTATTTCACTTTTCTTATTATTCATATCCTCACTGGAGTGAGTTAACATTCAATTTCCTTCAAAAATGTGCCCTTTATGGCTGAATGGAGTGGCTTTTGCTTATAATCCTAGCACTCTGGGAGGCCAAGGCAGGTAGATCACCTGAGCTCAGGAGTTTGAGACCAGCCTAAGCAAGAGTAAGACCCCATCTCTACTAAAAATGGAAAGAAAAAAAAAAGATAAAGAGCTGTTGTGTCAGGCACCTGCAGTCCCAGCTTCTTGAGAGGCTGAGCCACAGGGATCACTTGAGCCTAAGACTTTGAGGCTGTTGGGAGCTATGATGCATTGGCACTCTATCTAGAGCACAGAGTAAGACTCTGTCTGACAAAAAGAATTTTTCCTTTGCATTTACAGTTTTATTAACTGGCTACATACCAGTCTCTCTCAGCTTTCAATGTGCCTTTCTCACTAAGCTTAATCTTTTGACTTAAACTGTGAGTTTAAGGACACAGTGGTTCTGGACAGAAGATCAAACTGGATATAACAGTTCCTTAAGCCAAAGTCTAAACCAGAGGATGGCCCTAACTCTCCTCAAGTATTGAGTGGTGTGACTCTTAATTTTACCTGGTACCACTTGGAAGCCGTTGTAGAATTATTTATTAGCTTAATATCTGTGTTGTTGTGTGGAGACCCAAGAGGAAAGAGAGGGGAGAGAGATGGTGGAATGGCTAGTTGGTAGAGCAGTCAGAGTGCATGCAACAATAATCAATTAACTTTGCCTCCTTAAATGGGTGCAGTTTGTGGCATCCTAAAACAATTACAGTAGTAACATCAAAGATCAGATCACCATAACAGCTTTAACAATAATGAGTTTAAAATACTGTGAGAATTACCAAAATGTGACACAGAGACCTGAAGTGATCACATGCTATTCTAAAAATGGGACTAATATAGTTGCTTAGTAATGCAAGGTTGCCACATACCAATGATTTGTAAAAAATGCAATTAATCTGTGAAGCACAGTAAAACAAAGTGCAATGAAACAGAGTGTGTCTGTACTTAAAAGAATTGACTAGGTGTATATTGTTACTTAGTAATCTAATTCCAATTATCATTAATTGTAGTTTGAATTTTTGATTAATCTGTTTGCAACTACCACAGTATTTTTTTGTTTGTACTATTTTTTTTTTTTTTTTGAGACAGAGCCTCAAGCTGTCCCCATGGGTAGAGTGCTGTGGCATCACAGCTCACAGCAACCTCCAACTCCTGGGCTCAAGCAAGTCTTCTGCCTCAGCCTCCCAAGTAGCTGGGACTACAGGCTCCCGCCACAACTGTTTTTTTTGGTTGCAGCCATCATTGTTGTTTGGAGGGCTGGGCTGGATTCGAATCCGCCACCTTAGGTGTATGTGGCTGGTGCCTTAGCCACTTGAGCCAAAGGCGCCAAACCATGTACTGTCTTTTTAAACATTGGCATTTTTATGCTGTGTACAAGTGAAATTTGTTTCAAAACCATCGTAATGTCCTATAACATCTATTCTTAAGTCTTCATATTAGTGAGTAATAATATATTTACAGAGAATAGGTATTTAAACAGAACTGCAAGTGTAGCTTTTTGTACACATGACATACAAATCAAATTTAAAAGCTCAAATTAGATTTTCCATTTGACCCTGCAATCCCACTACTAGACATATACCCAGAAGAAAAAAGAATCATTTATCATAAGGACATTTGCACCAGAATGTTTATTGCAGCTCAGTTTACAATGACCAAGATGTGGGAACAACCTAAAATCCATCAACTCAGGAATGGATCAACAATTTGTGGTATATGCATACCGTGGAATACTATTCAGCCATAAAAAGATGGTGACTACTTTAATATTATCCTGGATGGAGTTAAAATACATTCTTCTTAGTAAAGTATCACAAGAATGGAAAAGCAATTATCTAATGTATTCAATTTAGTACTATTATGAAACCAGTAGATAACCTAATATATGCCCACATAGGAGAAAAATTCAATTCAAGTTAGGGGGGAAGGATAATGAGGGAGGAGGACAGGAGAGGGGAGTGAGGTGCTCCCACTGAATGGGCACGGTATGGGGACGTTTGGCATTCCTTTTGAGTGTGGGACATAACCAATAAAATCAAATATTTTGACCTGGTTGTATCCTCACATTAACCTAAAATTTAAAAAAAATCAAATTTAAATTACATAGTAATTTTATTTGAGGTTTTCTTATACTAACATGATTTGTCAATGTTAAATAACTAGAAGTTATTTTTAAGTTATAAAAAGTTTTATTTTTTCAGTAAGAGATATATTTATTGCTAAAGCAAGGTAATCTCTTTTTCAGTTATGTGAAATATTACAGTAATATTGGAAAACTGATTTTAATCATTTATTTCATTATTCTCAAACGCATTTTACCAATATGAACTAATGTGGGACAGAAAATGAAAAATCTTCTATTAGTATATTTTTTCCAACAGCATATAGTCACTTCAGAAAGTCTCTGTCACATTTTGGTAATTTTTACAATATTTCATACATTTTCATTATTATGTCTACTGTTATGGTGATCTGTGAAGGGAGTAAGAAAAATCTAAGTCTACAAAATATAAAAACTGAGAAATATCAATAATCAAGCTATCTGTTTAAGTATTGTCTATATGCACTTTAGTACTATTAACTAATCATTGTTCAAGGAAATTTTAATTTCATACTCCTGGCTCGGTGCCTATAGCTCAACCGGCTAAGGCGCCAGCCACATACACCTAAGGTGGCGGGTTCGAATCCCCAGCCCGGACCCGCCACACAACAATGACGGCTGCAACCAAAAAATAGCCGGGCGTTGTGGCAGGCGCCTGTGGTCCCAGCTACTTGGGAGGCGGAGGCAGGAGACTCGCTTGAGCCCAGGAGTTGGAGGTTGCTGTGAGCTGTGATGCCACGGCACTCTACCCAGGGGGACAGCTTGAGGCTCTGTCTCCAAAAAAAAAAAAAATTTCATACTCCTAATGCTTTTTTAAAGTTACCGTTAAGGTTTAGAATTTTCTTTTTTCATTCTATTAGTAATTTCATACTGTGCATCACTAGTAGTACTTGATGAAAAATTAACTTTTATTGCATACAAAATTTTAGAAAGCTAAAGTTTTGTGATTTGTACAGTCTTAGTAGTAGATGGTGAATGAGTTAGAACCTATGAAAATTTGGGGGTGAACTTGACTTTGTTCTTCACTTTGAATGTGACTCAATGGAAAGATAATGAAATCAGGCTGAACGTAGTGGCTCAAACCTGTAATCCTAGCACTCTAAGAAGCAGAGGTGAGAGGATTCCTTGAACTCAGAAGTTCAAGATGAGCCTGAGCATGAGTGAGATCCCATCTCTACTAAAATTAGAAAAAAACATAAGCCAGGTGTTGTGTGCCTGTAGTCTCAGCTACTTGGGAGGCTGAGGCAGGAGGATCACTTGAACTCAGGATTTTAAGGTTATTAGCTGGACTAACACCATGGCACTCTAGCCTGGGCATCTCGAAAAAGAATGAAGTTAGGTAACCTTCCTTTTATGACCATTTTGACCATGGTGCAGTACAGTTCCATTTTAGCTTCAGTTTCTTCATCTCTGAATGCAAATTATACCCAGCTTGCAGTATTAGAGATTATGCATATATGAGACTTTATGCATAGTCTTTGATATTGTTATTAGTTTTATACTGATGATATAAATACCAGCATCCATCCTTAGTTACTGTTCATCTGAATGAAAGACATCTTACTTACACAGCTTTCACTTCTTACCTGAATGACTCTTTTATAACTTGTTTTCTGTTTGTTTCAAGATATTAAAACTTTCCTAGGTAGAAGACCAAAAAAAATTTAAATGCCCTCAACAATAATTTAATTGTATCATTTTGTATAAACTTCTCTTGATAAAATATGTTTGAGGATTACCTATGGTTTTGAGCCTTTAATGTATTTATTCATAGTATTTAAGCTAACCTGACATTCTACCCTGTTGCCCTGTGAGTGGTACTTTACTTACTATATTTGGAACTTACTATATTAGAATTTAGCTAGAAATTCATAAACTGATATATTTCCTACTGCTAAAAGGTTTATTGAAACTAGACAGTCACTTATCTTTCATTTTATTGGATCTAGATAACAAATATTGCATGATTTCTTAGCATCTGAAACACTGTATCTTCTACAAAGTTATTAGGCTTTTCATTCACTTACCTAATTTTCTAAAATATTTGGTCTTGGTATTAGAAACCAATGAAAATTGAACTCTGGCTTGGCGCCTATGGCTCAAGTGGCTAAGGCGCCAGCCACATACACCTAAGCTGGCGGGTTTGAATCCAGCCTGGGCCCGCCAAACAACAGTGATGGCTGCAACCAAAAAATAGTCGGGCATTGTGGCAGGCACCTGTAGTCCCAGCTACTTGGGAGGCGGAGGCAGGAGACTTGCCTAAGACCAGCAGTTGGAGGTTGCTGTGGTTGCTGTGAGCTGTGATGCCATAGCACTTCACCAGGGTGATAGCTTGAGGCTCTGTCTCAAAAAAAAAAAAAAAGAAAGAAAGAAAATTGAACTCTTTACTATTTCTTTATTTGTTTAAAATGGGAAAGCAGGAAAGGAAACTGTTTGATTATACTTTCTGTAATCTTGAGTAAAATTTGGTAGTTAAAATAATATATCATGACTATATAGAGTTTTACCATCAATAGAACATTTGAAATATATTCTTATTAAATGTAACAACCCTGTAAGGTAAGGATTATTCTTGTTTTTGTAAGTAAAGAAATTAAAGGACAATAAAACAGTAAAATTTGTATTTGTAGCATTCTTCTGAAAGAATGGTCTTTCTACTTTCTCACAGATTTTACACTTAATGAGAATTAATCCATTGAATTCTCTGTAGAGATTGTTATTATAAACAGTTAAACTTGCCGGGCAACCATAAATGGACCTCCTTTGGCAGACAAAATTTTTTTAGGTAATTTTTCTTTTTTAAAGGAGGATCTTTGTAGACCAAGCAAACTGGTATCCTTACGTTGAACAGTTGATATCCTTATGTTAGTAAGTTTTTCATGACTAATTTTGGAGAGAACTTAGTAGCCTACCTTTAATAACAGTTGGGTAGGTCTTAACTCTCCCAGCTTCTTGCTGGCTGATGTTAATTTTTCTGTTTCATGGAAGTAATGACAAGCTGAACCCCGGGCATAAAATATTTGTAACAGTATAAGAAAAACTACCACATGGATTACTTGCTAATTTTTTTTTTCTTTTTGGGGGGAATAACAGAAAAAATGTGAGCGCTATTGGCCTTTGTATGGAGAAGACCCCATAACATTTGCACCATTTAAAATTTCTTGTGTAAGTACCTATTTTTATAAATATCTATAAAGTTTGTGGGCAATTTAAAATATTATTTGTGATCCTACATCTAAAATAATGATTGTTTTTATAGTGCTTTTGAATTTAGAAGCTTTTAGGATGACTTTTCATAAATGTATAATTTCCTTGTATCTTATTTTGTTAATTTTGGCTTAGCCTTTGCATACCAATTGACATAGCATTTATGTATGCGAGTAATTTGATTAACAGTATACTTTGAATGCTCTACTTAGAAATTGGTATATTAATTGCAAATTTAATAAATGGAAAAGACCATTGATGACTGAAGTATGGTGTATCACGGTAACCTTTCAAATCTATGTATGTTTGAGAACTCCTCCCATCCTGCCAAAGATTGATCCTTTATATAAAGCTGATAATTTGGTATGAAATGTAAAATCTATTCTATACTATTTAAGACTCTGGAAATGAATTAAATTCAAACTCAAAAACTAACTTAGCAAACATCTGAGAAGATATATTAAAAAACAAAAACAATGAAGGAAAAAAGTAGAAAAAGCAAGGGGGTGGACAAAAAAGAAGTAAAATGTAAGCAAACTTTAAAATAGGACCAATAATTTTCTTATGTGCCACATGGTATCATTTTACTTAATCTCCCAGAAGAAATAATATTAATTCAACTAAAAAGGCCATAATTAAATATACATGAAAATTAAATAATTAGTTTGTATTAATGTTCTCCAGAGAAGCAGAACCAATAGGGGATGAGAGAGAGAGTGTGTGTGTATGAAGAGATACAAGGAATTGGCTTATGCAGTTATGGAGGCTGTCAAGTCCAAAATATACAGGGTAGGCTGGAGACCAGGAAAGCTGAAGTTCAATTCTAATTCAAAAACAGTCTGTTGTAGAACTGGAAAGAGCTGATGGATCCGATGAAGGTTGGAGAATTCTGTCTTGCTGAGGGAAGGCTGGTCCTTTATTCAGGCCTTCAGGAGGTTGGAAGAAGCACACCAGTGTTATGATAGACAATCTGCTTTACTCAGAGTCTACCAATTTAAACATGAATCTCATCCAAAACACCTTTTAATGTTTGACCAAATATTTTGTTATTCTGTGGCTTAGTCAAGTTGACATATAAGCCAGAGGCATGGGCCTAATGCCAGCTATTTGGGAGGCCAAGGCAGGTGCATGCTTAAGCCAGGAGTTCAAGACTAGCTCAGCAATATAGCAAGACTGTCTCTGTTGGAATAAAAATTATTTTGACTGTCACATTCCCTGTCTCAGAATTGGCTTGTGTTTGACTTTCTTTTCCATGGTTAAATGAAATATAATTTCTATAATTTTATTTGTCATTAATGAATTGAAGAACTCCATAATTTTATGACTTGGTTGTACTTCTGAATTCCTATTATGCAAACTCAAATTTAAGTGCTTTCTAGGTTGGTGAAGAAAAGGATTTAGAGCTGTGTTATTCTGTCTACTTTATAAATGCAATGGGATTTTTATAATGTTAACTATAACTCTCTTTGGGTTGAATATTCAGTCAACACTCTAAAGTGCTGATAAGAATTAACTATTTGTAGGTTAAATATAAAAAATTTTTGTTAATTCATCATTTTATTTGGTTTGGAATGAGTAATAAATAACTAGTACATACCAAAGTGTCTACTTGGGTGAGGGAACACCTCCCCCTTTCACTAATCCAGAAAGTATTTTTACAATATTAGGCCTTTGGACAGCTGAGGAAACCTAGTTCTGTGCAGTGTTCTTGTGTTGAACATTTATAAATTTAAATGCAATAAGATAACATAAAATTAATCTCACAATTCAAGTGAAAACATGCACAGTTCAGGCTGGGCATGATGGCTCACTCCTGTAATCCTCGCACTCTAGAAGGCTGAGGCAGGAGGCTCACTTGAGGGCAAGAGGTTAAAACCAGTCTGAGCAAGAGCAAGACCCTGTCTTTACTAAAAATAGAAAAATTGGCCAGGCATTGTGGCCGGTATCTGTAGTCGCAGCTACTCGAGAGGCTGAGGCAGGAGGATTGCTTGAACCCAGGAGTTTGGGGTTACTATGAGCTAAACTGATGCCATGGCTCTAGCCTAGGCAACAGGATAAGACTCTGTCTCAAACAAACAAACAAAAGCTACAATTCAAGTGAAGATAAATCTTTAACAGTCAACAATAAAACAGTATGTCACAATAGCAAAGTGAGTAGACAGAGACATTATGATGCAGAAAGCCAAAGGTACTTAACTAGTTGGCCCTTTACAGAAAAAGTTAAGTCACTCATACTCCCTTTTTGATAAAAGCAAACACTTATACCTTCTTCTTAATGTTATTTGAAAAGTTCAAAATAAATTATCATTTTAAAAACTAAAGCAGGTATAATAGCGACTATCCTTTTTATTAATAAAACAAATACACTATTGCTCTTGATAATTACAGTCCTAAACTATCTGTAGTTTTAGCTATTATAGGAAAAAAATAATTTGTTTAATGAGTTATTAGGCAAATGGCTCGGCACCTGTGACTCAGGTGGCTAGGGCGCCAGCCACATACACCTAAGGTGGCAGGTTCGAATCCAGCCCAGGCCGCCAAACAACAATGATG